AGAGAGAGAGAGAGAGAGAGAGAGAGAGAGAGAGAGAGAGAGAGAGAGAGAAGAATACATACCTTTGCATGTATCAAAACACGTTCTGATAGATTAAACTGCTGTTGGCACTTCTGCGAATTAATCGTCGATTGATGTAATCAGAAGTTGGTGAAAAAGGCTCTAAAATCGATAACACACAGAAAAACATAAGGCAGTAGGACGTAATCAATAACAAATCGGCCAATTACAATAGAAAATGAAACAATAAACATAAGTAGCAGTAATCCAAAATGTTGATTCGTTTACTGCTTATATTTTACTGCTAAGGTTTTTTGTGTTCCATAGTCATTAATACGCATGAAACTAATCTAAAGTCATATAAAAGAACAAAATTTAATTACTCAATATTTCTGAATTATTTTCTATAATTTCAATGAAAAACAAGGTCATATTATCAATGCCTATACGATACGATAGCTCTGCGATTTAACTTTAATGTTAGAAATGGGGTCATGTCAAATGCGAAATGGATTATTACTTCAGTAGAAGTGGCCCACAAGGACTAAGTCAAAATATGCAAAATTATTCAGGATTATGGAGTAAGTTTGAAAAATAAATATAGCAGTTCAAAACATAAAATAATTCAATGCTTTTAAACAAGCAATTAAAATAATTTCATAAAACTGAAATTCGGTCCAACCAAAATCTACTATATGTTGTTTTTTCAATTTTGAAACATGCATTTATTAAAAAGCATTCCTATGCATTTTTTTCAAGCTTTTGTTAACATGTACATTTAATAATCATCACGGAATATTTTTTTATTGTATTTATAAAGTCTAATATACAGGTTTTTATTCTTTAAAAAGTGCGTTTAATTTTATTGGAAATTCCTTCTAATTTTTTGCTCTTTGTCTAATATTGTTTCAATTTATTTCTTCATGTTTCTAAATTTTAAAACTAATTTACTTCCTTTTGTTCACATTAATAAAAATTAATTTGTTATTGTTATCAAATAAAAGTTTTAATAACTATAATTTTTTAACTATTTCTCAGGTAACATGGCTTAGAACCGATATTTCATTTCTATGTATTATATTTAAATAAAATATATATATTTTAATTAAATATAATATTTTATAAAAATATCCTATGCCGTCTCTGAAGAAACTTGTCATTACCGGTGGGCCATTTACAAAGAAAATACAAGAAGCTGTCGCAAAAATGATGCCACATACCCAAATATTAAACTGTTATGGTAAGAATCAAATTATTAAGTTAGAGAAATTATTCAAAATGCTGTAATATTTAAAAAGAATATCATAGAAGTATCATAAATAAATTAAATAGTGCTACAAGAATATTTTAGATTTGTTTTTATAAAAAAAACTATTCTTACAAAAACTTGTTCTTACAAAAATAAATTATCATTACATCATGCATTTTTCAGAAGGAATAATTGTTAATTATCTGAAAGCATTTCCTCAGGCTTGACTGATGCTGGAGGATTATCTTTAAAGTAATGATAATATTTACGAAAGAAATAATACTATCAAAATGTATGCCGATTAAAATAATATTACAAATTTTTTTCTCCCTCATACCGCTACTAAAAGATTATTTTCAGCAATACCAGATTAAATTTGATTAGATTATTTTTTTATATATATATATATATATATTTATATATATATATATATTCTATTACCGAGGTATATCGAAGTCTGGCGAAGGTAATATTTATTTGCAATAAATCATTTACAATATTTTAATAGATACTTATTATATAGCCTCAATTATTGAATTGCTTATCAACTTAATTTATGTATTACTACTCCAGCTTCAGCTTATAGGTGTGTGTGTGTGTGTGTGTGTGTGTGTGTGTGTGTGTGTGTGTGTGTGTGTGTGTGCTTTTTACGACTAGGTAATCGGAGAACAGTTTGCTTAAACTGGAAATTGTATAAATTCACAAAAAGTATTGTTATATACAAAGATCTGCTTTGACTAAATATGATATCTTCCACTCACTTGTGTGTTTAACATTTCATTGATTGATTTTCACTTCATATTGTACATATAACGAATTATATACACATGAACTATAAATGAAGCAGATTAATAATACTTGCATATTATGTTACGAAATGTATAAAATGCATTAATTTTTCATTATATCGTCATTAATTAGTGAGTTCATTATAAACAAATATTGATGAATTTTGCGAATATTCAGTATTATGATTGATTAAATTATTTCAAAATTTTGGAAATGTATTTCGACATATAAACTGTTAAAGTTTGCATAGAGATAAATAGTATAAAAAATTAATAATTTAATAATATAATTGAATTATAGACTCTTATATGTTTCAATATGTCGATCGACATGGTATCTATGTTATAGATTTTAAGATTGTGTTTTTGCGCACTGCTAACAGCGTTGACTCTTAATAGCCTTTGTATTTGCTTAAATTTTTTGTATTGTTTTTGATAAATAGTATATAAATCATTCTATATAATCACCCGTTTTATTTAAAAATGGGCACAAGATGTCAAATATCTCTTTTCTAAATCATAAAAAAATAAAAACAAATAATAAATGATTCAAGAAATTAATTTTTTATCACGCGAATGCGTGATAAAAAATATTATGAGTAACGAGTGGGGAGTATATTGTTTATAGCGTTACACAATGTACTATTAAAGTACACACACACATTTTCAAAAATATTATTATCACCTTCAAGATTTTCTTCCTTTTATAAAAAAAGAACACTTTATTAATTACTACTTATTATTTAATCTTACTTTAAAACAATCGCATTTAATGTCGTATTTTTCTTGTCACACTCGTATCTCGGCTTTTAATTCCAAATATCCAATATGGTGCATGCGTAAATTAATAATTATCTAAACTAATAATTGTCTAAATCTATCAGATAAAATTTTTGTCTGTAATGTATGTATATATATACACATATCATTGTATATCATCTCAAAAATTCAATGATATATGTGCACGTAAAAATTTGTTTGTTTATTTCTTTCTTCAGGGAAATTCCAAAGGTATATTGCTAATTGAAAAAATCAATATTTAAAGTAAAATTGATCTCCACAATTAAGCTTATAAAAATCATATAACAATCAACACACATACTTATTTAACAACTACTCAAATCATGATTACATTCAAACGTGTGGCATTCAATTTCGGAAATTGTACGAGTTGTTCAAAGATAAACATATATATATATATATAAAATTAGTTTTTACTTAAAAAAAAATTAATTTATTTTCAAAAGTACTATGGACGCAATTAATGCAATAAAAAAGTGTAGTTTCATTTCTAATTCCTGTCCCTTCAATGTCACAATATACTATATTATATATGCTTTTCACAGATGAGTGGGAGAGATAATATAACATAATATAAAGCCTGATAACTCCGATTAGATTCATATATGAGTTATTAGAACTAGAACATTCCGGCTATTAAAATAAAAGCAAGAAAGAACAAAAATTATTAAAAAATTTATAAAAATGTGTGAACAAATGACAGTAAGCGATAACAGCAAGGTAAGAAGATATTTAAAAAAAATATTTAGTTTGTTCATAAAAAATACATTTTTGTTGCATTTATTAAAGCTTTATAAATAAAAGTTGCTAATAAATTTTGATTGCTAGAATATTCGCAAATCTCTTATTTCACATAACTCACAGAAAGATTCTTTCGGAATTCTCACAATTCGATAATTTTTAAAATAATTCATACCAATGTATTTTATCGTATCGTATGGATTACATTAAATTTATCTAAGGTATAATACATTCGCCTAAATAAAGAGGAATATCGAGTACTGCATCTGTGTATGTACATTTTTGTCTCTATATACGGATATTATAACAAAAAACTCAGTAACTTTTGTAATACCATAAATAATCAAATTTATTTAATTATATTTATATTAGTCAAAATTTTAAATAATAAATGTAATATCGTTAAATTTATTTACCGTTTGCATTAAATCTTTATTTTAATTCTACTAATTCAACAATTTCACATTGTTCATTAAATAAAAAGTTAATGTACCAATTAATGTGCTTACCTATATGTTTATTAAGCTTTTACTAACATGTTATCAATGTTCTTATTTTATATAAATATTAAGACTTTTTTTAAATTCATATATTTGAATAAACAAATAAGCCAATAGTATTAGTATAGTAATATATAATTAGTAATATGTTTTAAAATGATTAATTTCGCTCGTCTTTTGCAATATACTCAATTTAAACCTTTTTTCTTTATACTTTGTTTAAAAAATATTTTTAATTTAAATATAATATACATAATCTTAACAACAAACATCCACATCAAAGTTATATTAAGAGAATAGAAGATTTCCTAAAATAAACATTTATTATTTTTCATTTTAATTTTTATATTCCTTGTAAAATTTTGTTTAACTGTTGCGCAAAAATTTTGAATATATTTTTGTAAGTAATATAATTTTATATCAAAAACTCTAGAAACTTCATTATCACGATGTTGTTCATGAATTCAGAATAGAAGACAATATTCTAATAGGAAAAGAAATACCAATAAACAGAGAACCTATTAACATATCCGAAGTGCTACTTAAGACATTAAAGAGCAAACCAAACTGCATCGGTCAGGTATTTTAACAAATACAATTTCCACTAAATCAATTGACGTAAAACAATTATGTTCACTGCTCATTTTTAGAGTGTATAAAATTCTATGTGAATAAGGGTTTAAACATGCAGTTCAAAACCTTTTGTTCTATAGATAGATGCAGTTACTGGTAAACAGGACACTTATGCCGATATGAGTGAGCGCAGCATTAAATGCGCCCTTTGGCTACAGAAGCAAGGCGTTAAGCCCGGCGATATAATCGGTCTTTGCTGTGATAATGACATGAACGCAATCATAATTATGTTGGGTATTATGTACATAGGTGCTATATCTAATCCTTGGGATAACGATTTGTCTCCAAGTATGTATTTCCCGTATGCATATTTCCTTGTAGGTATAATCATATTATAAAATTATATGTAAGAATACATAATACGTAAAGATTATGTGAGAGCAAAATATTCGACATTATATTTGTGATTGTAATTCATGTAAAATATTTATAATTAAGAGTTCTATTTTTATAGTTATTACCTCTATAATATTAGTAATAATAATTAAACTATACATATTACAGTTCTCTCAAACTTAAAAAATTGAAATAAAAGATATCAGAGCTTAGCTGGTTCTCTTTTACCGAATTTTATATTTATTCTAAAAATTATTTCAATTAGAATCAATATAAAATTCGGTAAAAGAGGAACCAGCTAGGCCAATTAAACTCTGATATCTTTCATTTGAATTATATTCTATATGGACAATTACAATATATTGTAAAAAAAAATATATATATATATTTATAGTGTTAAAAATTATAGTATTAAAAAAATGTACAATATATTACCTATAAATATAAATAATAATAATTTTAAATATCAATATAGTAAATATCAAGATATAATTTGTAATTATTCAGTAAATGTAATCGTAATTGTACTGAATTACAATTAATTATTTTCTTAAATTTACTTATTATTTATTTATGTGTAATAATAACTTAAGAAAAACTAAAGATTTTTAAGTAGTGTATGTGATTTTATTATTAATAATACAATTGACTACATTTACATGGTTAAAACATTTATAAATATACGGTTGCCAAAAAAATTAATTAAAAATTATAATTAAATTATGGTGATTGCAATTACTTTTTTTTCTCAGTAAAACGTATTTTTTGTATAATCAACATAATAAATTTAATTTAATAATTTTATATTAAACTACTTGTCTACACTCAGAAAAATGTTTTGTTGTTCTAACAAAAATTTTATTGCGATAACAAAATTCGTTTGTCAATATATGACCAACATTTTATTTTGTTGCGAATTGTATCAATCTAAATATTCTGGATTTTCCTGAACAGTCGATGATCCATAATACCCCACGGAGCCCCGGTCTCCCCTATGTATAAGTAAATCTTATACACATTATTCGCCCATTTAATTTTGTTCATTTACATTTGTTTAGTGACAGCACGATATTTTCTCTCGTTAATATCACCAAAAATAGTTTTTACGATGCCATCATTGGTTCCGAGTTTAGAAGAAGCAGCGAAAAAGTTACAAATAAATATGAAAATAGTAGTTTCCCATAAATTAAATGGATACACATCTATGGAGGATATCTTGAGTGGTCACGATATTAATAAGATTACCGAATTTAAATGTGCCAAAATCAGCAACCCAGACGATGTTGCTCTCATCTCCCTCTCATCAGGTACTACGGGAATGCCAAAGGGTACCGAGATATCGCATTCATCTTTATATAATTGCCTACTTCCCGAGAAAGTCACGGAACTAGAAGGTCATACTTGTCTGTGGACACATACATTACGTTGGCACTACGGGGTCCAGTTGTCATTTCAAGCCATCTTAGCCTATTCGACAAATATTCTTGCACCTTGCAGCATAATACTTAACGACGACGATGAGGCAATATGCCGATTTATTGAAAAATATCAAGTAAGCTCCAGCTTATGATTTCGCAACCTGTTATAGAACTAACTTTGCAGATAATAATTAAATAGAGATTAATCTTGCATTTTAACTTTAAGATAACATGGTTTTCCACCGAGCCAGGCATGCTAATTCGATTTTATAAAAACGATTTATTGGAGAAATATAAATTGCTGACTTTGAAAGAGGTGATGAGTGCTGGTGCTAATTTAGGAAGAGAGCATTATTTAGCCTTGGCAAAGAAATTACCTCATGCTTTTATTAAGACTGGCTATGGTATAAGTCAATTTGATTTAAAAGTGTCATATGACACTAAATAATATGTTATATTTGATATCATTCTTCATTTCTCTTGAATCTATTATTATAGTAATATTATCTTTGAAAATATTAACATCAACTTAATGTATTAATATATACTATATTCTATTATTTCAAAGCAACAATTGAAAATAATTTTCAAAATTAACAAAAATATTAATATATTAAATTTTAATAAGTAAAAAACATTCTTTACTCAAACAATAAAAATAAAATTAAAATAAAGATATCAATAAGAAATCTTTATAAATTTCTTTTTTACACTTATTTAACATAATATTTATAATATCATTTTCATTGATAATTTTCTTGATAATTCTTGACAGTATCATATTATGTCATATTATATAGTTGTTATAAACATTGTTTTTAGGATCTACAGACTCAGCAGCTGACGTAACCGTTATGATCAAAGATTGCAAACCAGGATCTATTGGTTTTGTCGCACCCAACGTTCGAATAAAAGTGACGGATGTAGAAACTGGGAAAACTTTGGGAGCTTATCAAAATGGAGAGTTACGTTTGAAACTGCCTTGTGTAATGAATGGCTATTATAAGAGACCTGAAGAGACTAAACGAGCTTTCGATTCTGACGGTACGTAGTAATGGGTGGATGGGTGGGACCATATCAGTCCCTGTATGTCTGAATCTAGTCAAAGAGTCATCTAGATCTAAAGAGTTCTTCTGTGATTCTCGCTAAGTCAGTACGGATTACAAAATTATCCTTATATACGGGATGTGGAGTTTGAACTTGCGACCTGTCGATTACAAATCTGTCGCTCTCACACAGAGCCACATGATATTCCGACGATATGTGACTAATCAGAATATCATAGACTTAAGGAAACCATTTAACAATTTTGATTCTAATGTATAAATTATAAGGGTATTGTGATGGAGAACTATAAGTGAATAGAAAAAAAAAAAATAATAAATATAAATATTATTAATAATAGTATAATAATAACCACTTGCCCAAGGAACACATCAATCAAGAGAAAATGACTATTTAAATGTCATGAAAGTCAAAATAATGATTTTTCGTTATAAAAATTAACTGCTTATTGACGTTAAAAATCAAAATATTATCTTAATTTTTATACTTTTGCGTGTTTCTTAGGTATAGCTACACTAAAATTGTTTATATAATTACAAAATTTGGAATGTATGAATAAAATGCAAATATTAAAATTTGAAAATGTTTATGAGTATAAAACTGTTGGAGATAACAGATTTGTAAATAAAAGAAATAATAATAATGCACCATTAAAATGACTTCGTGAAAACGTTTTCTTAAATATATATAAAAATATAAATTAATAAATTAATAAAAACCAACAAAATTTCAGGTTGGTTACTTAGTGGTGACATAGGATATTATGATGATGATGGAAATATTTTCTTCATCGATAGAATATCCGAATTTATCCTTTTCCATGGAATTAATATTTCTGCAGCAGAAATAGAGCATGTTTTAAAGATACATTCTGCGATATCTCAAGTAGCAGTAATAGGAATACCACACGAAATTGCGGGTCATCATCCAATGGCTGTCGTTTCTCGAACACCGAATAAAACGGTAAAAACTGTAAAACGGTCATATACAATCCAGGCAGCTAACATGACAAGAACTATGACTATCATCTTATTCGAAATTTATATTTATATAATTTCATTGTAATCATAAAAAAAATATTTCAATTATAGGTAACAGAAAAGGAGCTTCACGACTTGGTGGCAAAGAACCTACCAAAATACTGTATGCTTCGCGGTGGAATTAAGTTTCTCGACGAACTGCCGCGCACAACTACAGGCAAAATAGCGAAGAAGCAACTGCGAGATATGTTTAAAAATTAAAATACTACTGCACAAGTTGCACACAATACTACATTGTTACAATATCATTTATAAAAATTGTTCAGACTGCTGAATAATAACAATAGTAACAATTAACTGGAAAGACATAAACTTTCATAGCGAGATATGTTAAATAAACAAAAACGTAAAAGTTTTTTTTACAAGTTGAATAACATAAAATAATCAAATTGTTTTAAATAAAATTTCAAAAATTAAAGAACTCGATACATTGCAAATTAAATGCATTATCAAAAAATAAATAAAAATATCAATAAACACACAACACATGAAAATATAAAAAGAAAAAAAAATTAAAAGTTTCTTGCTACAGTAAAAATTAAAGTCGAAAATTAAAGATTATAAAAATGTATTCTGCTATTAAATATAATAGACGGTTGATGATTTTATCCACAATAATACTTCTGATTTCATATTCCTATATATTGGTGACTTATCTCCGGTTTTATTGTACCAAGCGCCTCATTTATACAGAAACTTAATGTAATGCTAATATTTAAATATGTTGTTATTTCGTTGATACACTAAAGTTGACGAAAATTGTAGTTAAAACGTTTGTAATTGTAAATTATTGTTAAAAGTACACACAAATTTTACACACCCAGTGTCGGCTTACATTTTGGCTTGCACTTTTTCCCTATTTCGATTTATTTCTTTGAAGCCTTACTATTATAAATATATATTGTTAATATCATTTCGGCAAAAAAATATTTATTAGAACTAAAATTTCTAATACATAGAGAATTTTTACTATAGATATAAAAATGTCAATAAAAAGTATTTCTAAAAATGTTTATTTAAGATCAGTAAAAATAGATAATAAATAAAATACGGTAATGTCATTGTCCCCTCTATATTTCAAATATTGTAAAGTGTAGTCCAAAGCACTTGGAATGCACTCTTTTCAGGTATTATTTTCTTCCAAAAATATATCCCCTCTCTAAGAGCTCAATAATACTAATCTTCTTATAAAGAAATGTGTATATAACATTCCTTCTTTCCAACTCTGCTCTCTATGATAAAATTCAGATAACAAATCCAACCTTTTTTCCTGTTTACCTGTAAAATTCGTAGAAATCGTAAACTCTAATTTAAAACCTACAGTTTATATTGTTCCATGCATTTAAGTGAGAAAGATAAAAGTTAAGACAAGAACCGGCGACATCGTTTAATCTTCTAATCAGAGCTGCCAGATTCTGGCTTGCGCTACCACTCGGTAGCGCGTGGTGGGGAAAGAGTGGGGGTAACTACGGCAGAGCTTCTAGATTCTAGCTTGCGCTACCACTTGGTAGCACGTGAAGGGGATAAAATTGTAGAAAAATATATAGAAGAACATAACAAATTTAACAGGTTTATTGATATAAAGAAATTTGTAGATCGATAGTAAGATCTTATGAACAATGGAAGAAATATCAGGAATGAATATGATTGACCGTACGAATAAGGTATTATTCTGAAGTTTTAAGTCTTAAAATGTCGTTGTAGACGTCGAAATTGTCGAGAAAATCTTTTCGACCGCATAAAGTACGCGTAGGATTAAGCTAGAGATAATCGGTACTCTTCTATCTTGTGCCGGCTGGGTACTCTTTCTATAGTATAGCGCACGACTTTGCCCGAGCGCGGTGCGTCATAGCTATAGCTATCCCTACCACGTGGTACCAAGTGGTAGCGCAAGCCAGAATTCTGGTAGCTCTGCTTCTAACAGTGACAATATAGCTGTCGTGGAAAGTACAACTAATAATTATATGATCATTATATAATTTATAAAAATGTGTGAATGGAATACAGCAATTTATAAAAATGAGGTATAAAAATTTATATTTTCATTTTATATTTAAAAAGATCTGAAAAAATTAATTTAATTATGCATAATAAATCTTTCTTCAAATTATTTTTTTTACTTGTATTTCTATTGCTTCATTATACATATATATATGTATAATGTATATATATACATATATATAATGTGTATATATATATACATATATACTTATACTCATAGATATTTCCAAGTTTTAACATTTCATTCATACATGTTATATATTAAAATTATATAAAAACTACTAATGCATCAAATTATCTAACAAGGGAAGTGGCCAAAGTGTTAATTGCGCATTGATACAAAATATATATCGTTGGAAAGGTCTTGCCGAGTAGAGTACAACTGTGCAATATTTCGCTTGAATGGCGCCTCTAGACGGCGTTATTTGCAATAGAAGTTATTCAATGTGTACCTAATGATAATAAGAATTTCGCTCACACCTCCACCAACTTCGACCCACCGCACCACCCTCCACCTCTCATCCCCTCTTCCACCCCTCCTCCTCCCTACCCCTTCTATTCACCGTTTTTCACTCTCTTTCGTTATATAACATTTTTAAGTCATTTTTTAAATATTTTTTTCATATATATTTTTCATATATTTGTATTATAAAAAATAAATGATATCCTAAAAAAATTATATCATTAAAAATGAAAGGGTCAAACCGTGTTTAAAAGAAGATCCTCAAAAACCTTTAAAATTTTAAATGATTATCTAATAATAATATATAATATATTACCATGAAAAGTATCTGATATATTATTAAATAAATTAAGTAATAATTAAAGGCTCAGAAGAATAATCAAAAATAATAAAAAATGCCAATATGAGCCGACACTGATAATGGGTGCTTTCCATTTGATGACACAAGTCGACACAAGTGTCGTTCTATCTTTGTCAATCTCTAAATATCAAGAAAGATAGAACGATGCTTGTGTCGACTTGTGTCATCAAATGGAAAGCACCCAATGTGTATGATAATATTTCTTTATTTGTAATTAGATATACGTTTCGATCTCTGCTTGAGATTCTTCTCAGTACATTGAAAAGTTTAAATATTAAAAAATGTAGTAAAATGTAAAGAATTACATACGCAATAAGTAATAATATCCAATAGTCTAAACTCGTTCACTAAAGTGCTCAATTTACTAAAAAATTATTATCAATAATTATTATCAATACATAAAACAGATTAATATAAGAATTCTTTCAAAAGAATATTCTTAAAAAAAAAAGATTCACTCACATGAAGACGAATTAACTTTAGACTGGTGGAACGTCGCAACATATTAAATTCATTTAGTTATTCTGTAAACTATTTATTGGAAATATAACAATAATTGATAAAAAAAATTTTTTACAGCAATAATTAAAAAACTCTTTAGAAAAATTATTATGTATAAAACTTACATGGATTGTTAAAACACAACGTACATATTGAAGTGATAAAAGTGGAATGAGACAAGAGAAAACAAGAAACTTATCGCAAAGTCAAAATAATAAATAACAAATGTAAGATACAAGATGTGGAAATGTCATGTGTTACAAAACAAATCCATGTATAATGGATCTAAAGATTGAGTGTCATTTTGTAAATTTAAACCATGTTTTGCTTCTTAATGGTCGCGTTCAGCAGACTCAACTGTTGCGGAGCGGATCTGTGAGCGCTCGCTGCTATTGGATGATCTAAAAGAATATACCAATAGTGTCTCGGCCAAGTGGCAAGCACCGAAGCGTTATAGCGCAACCTATCGCTGCTTATCACTGTAATGCCTAATTTCTTCACTTCTAGATAACCTTTATCCAAAAGATATCTCCCAGAATATAGTGGAGGTATTTTATTACGGATAGCTTTATCTTCTGGATAAAGCTATCCGTAACTTATCTGCAAGTGAAGAAATTAGCCATAAGCCGGATATAAAAGATCAACTTTGCGCCTTTCAATTATTCTGTTTCTATATATTTGGTCTCGCGCTGTGTCGCACGAGTACTATCACAAGTGCTTGTGTGTGCGCCGAGATACTACCTTCTGTATAAGTAAACGCTATTTGAAGTAAAGAAGCGCTCTTCGCTTCCCAAGTGCAGATTGTCAAATTTGATTTGTTTTTTGCATTCTTTTTCCTCTCTGCATCATTTCACTTTGCATTTAATCTTGCTATCTTGTTCTTATTAAATTACTAATCATAGTAATCATATAAATATACTAATCAATCTCCAGTATATCAACCGATGTTTAAATATGCATGGTTCAAAGGTGGATTTGATGTTCCATACGTGGAGTTTAAAGGGTTAAAAGATATAAACTTTTCTATTAAAGAACCCATTTATCAGATTTGTAATCAAAATGCTACATGCATCAAATGTTCATATGATTTCTGCAGTAGATCTCTTTATTACGATTGTTTTTTTGAACGTTATTATTACCACTAGTCTTTTTACGTTTCCTTTTCCTCTCTTCGCTCTTATTTTGGTTTCTGAAATGAAGCGAAAATCGTGATTTATGTGTTTTTTGATCAATTCACTGAAATTTTTTTTCCAAAACTGATGAGAGCGAATAATTTCACCAAAAAATTAAGAACAAAATATAAAGTGAAAATAAATACAAAAATTAAAAACAAATAAAAAATAGAAAAAATGGAGTGTAAAATCCTACCATGGCCTCCCCGTGGCGCATTCTGGGATTGTGATAATATTTTATAAGTAAATAACGGAGATTAGGGTGTCCTAATTAAATGTCGGCAATATTTGTTACATATTTTTTTTTAATTAATCGGTTTTGAGATACTTTGAGACTTTTAGAAGATCTTGTACCTGTAACTTCTATTGCACATAACGCCCTCTAGAGGCGCCATTCAAGCGAAATATTGCACAGTTGTACTCTACTCGGCAAGACCTTTCCAATGATATATATTTTGTATCAATTCGCGATTAACACTTTCCTTGTAAGTGGTTATTATTATTATACTATAAATATTATATTAAAATTTATTATTATCATTATTAATATTTTTAACAATAATTTACTAACGTAATTTTGTCATAAAGATAAAAGAATCAAAATTCTAGGTCAGAATCAAAGATAACATCTTATTAGGTCCAGAATATCCAATTTATAAAAAACCTATTAATGTAGCTGAAAAAATTCTAGAAACCTTGAAAAGTAAACCTGATTGTATCGGCCAGGTATGTTAACAGTATTCACTGTATAACTCTATATTTTTCAGTTACATTTAATTTCTCGTTACAAATAATTAATATGTCGATTTATAGATAGACGCTCTTACGGATAAACAAACCACTTATGCCGAAATGAGTGATCGCAGTATTAAATGTGCACTTTGGTTGAAAAAGCAGGGTGTAAAATCAGGCGATATAATTAGTGTTTGCACCGACAATAATCTAGACGCGATTATAGTATTGTTGGGCATCATGTATTTAAATGGAAAATGCAACACATGGGATCATGAACTTTCCTTAAGTGTGTAATCTTATATGCTACTTCTATTACTACCATATACTGAAAAAATCATATGTTGCAAACTGTATAAAAATGTACATAAATAACTGTATTTGTTTATTCAACCGCGATAGTTCGTTTTCTTATTTCATTAAGCGTTTTTATGTATTATTTGATAATTTGTATTTATACATAAGACTAAATAAATATAGTCTTAAGATAAATCGATTACAGAGTCCAAATCAGTCTCGAAACAGTCTTAAAACGATCATAAAATAAGAATAACGATCTAAGACTTACTCTCTAAATCTGAATTAGTTGGTAATAACTGATCATTATCCAGTGGCATACTTGACACTGATCAGTGATTATCCACTGATTCAGATTTGGAGAGTAAATATAGTACTACTTTGAAATTTACATATATTTAGATGTTTTAGACAATTATTGATTACAATCATAAAATTTATAAAAAATAAATAAAAAAAACAATTATAGTATAACTTTTAATGTTATTCAACCATATATTCATATTTTAGTAACGGCACGAAACCTTCTCTCGCTGATGTCACCAACAATAATTTTTACAATCCCATCATCAGCTGCGAATTTGACTAATGCAGCAAAGGAGTTGAAAATGAATGTAAAAATAGTGGTTTTTGGCAAGCTAGATGGATATGAATCAATAGATGATATTTTAAAGGGTCACGATAACCATGAGATTGTCGATTTCAAATGTACTCCGATTAGCAACCGGGATGAAGTTGGTATTATTGTTCTTTCTTCAGGTACTACGGGTATGCCAAAGTGTACTGAAATCTCGCATTCTTCTATAATGCATAAATGTCTATTATCTGCCGAAATGAAAGATCACGTTTGCATATTTACACCGACAATACGTTGGCACTATAGTATTACACTTGCATTTAAGATCATTTTAGCATATTCAACCAGAATTGTTGTACCAGACTATGTGATAGACAACGATATGAATAATCTGTACGAGTTCATCGAGAAATATCGAGTAAGAAAAACGATTCCTAAACAAATTCTTAATGCTTAATTCAATATCTAATTTTAGAAATAGAAATAGAGGGAATTGAAATAATTTTAATATTTGATTGTAATTTTCAGGTAACAATGTTTGCTGTTGATCCATTCATTCTAATCAAAATGCTTAAGGAGGACATATTAGCGAAATATCAATTGACAACAATAAAAGTTGTTATTACTACTGGTTCTATTTTTCCAAAACAATATCAAGAAATGTTGATTAAAAAATTACCAAATGCTTTAATTAAGAACTGTTATGGTATGTTATTAAATTTAATTTTAAAAATTACAAAATGGTTCTTTTTCTTCAAATCACTTAATTTTTAATTAGTTACATTAAAATCTATGTAATTGGTTTTCTAAAAGTATCTATATATTACGGATATAACATTTAAGTTTTTTAACGACACTAATCAAATTCTAAATTAATTTTTATATTTAAAACTGATAAGTAAATTATACGTTAAATAAAGTATATAATAAATTCCCATTAAAAAAAAATTTTTTTAATTTAATTTTATTCAATTAATTAATTTTATTCAAAAAAATTAAAATTTTAATAAAAGTTTTAAAAATTTAAATAGATATCTTTTAAATTATTCACAAAATTGTGAAATATCAATGTTATACCTCCTATTATCTTGTTAATATTACGGACGCATTAATGTTTCATGCCAGGATGTACCGATTCAGGAGGTGAACTTTCCATCCAAAATAAGCACAGTAAACTGGGATCTGTTGGTTTTCCTTCACCTAACGTTCAAATAAAGGTGACGGATACACAAACCGAAGAAGTTTTGGGAGTTAATAAAGTTGGAGAACTACGTATTAAAACTCCCTGTGTAATGAACGGTTACTACAAGAATCCCGAAGCTACCAAAAAAGCTTTCGATTCTGATGGTATATGTCTTGGATATTCGGTCAAAACTTTCAATTAGCAATACTAACATTTAGAAAACTATAAACTGCAATAAAAGGATAATAAATGTCCAAAACGCACAATATTTCAGGTTGGTTATGCAGTGGCGATGTAGGATATTACGACGATGACGGAGAAATCTTCATCGTCGGCAGAATATCGGATTTCATTCTTTTTAGATCAATCAATGTCTTGCCCGCGGAAATTGAAGCTGTTTTACAGACTCATCCTGCGGTATTCCAAGCGGTGGTAATAGGAATGCCTCATGAAATCGATGAGCAACATCCAATGGCTATTGTCTCAATCATACCAGGTAAAACGGTAGGTATCGCTCGTTCTCAATTATATTAAGTATAAAGCCAATTAAACAATAATTACTTTTGAGATTTACACGAGACTTATGCAGCAGATACTGCGTTTATTTATCAAATGTTCCGTTTACAGATAACAGAGCAAGAGCTAATCAGTTTAGTGGAAACAAATCTACCGGATCACTGCAGACTTCGAGCTGGTGTCAAATTTGTAGATAAACTTCCATATACAGCTACCGGCAAAATCGCAAAGGGACAGTTGCGACGTATGTTCGTGAATTAAATTACTGAATTATACAGTGCATATCAAAAGTTTCGGAACGGCTAATTATCTCAGAAAATATTGGTTTATTTTGAAAAAGTATTTTATACAAAAATTGTAAGGTAATAAGTGCGTTAAACAGCAATACTCATTTAACTTTGAGTGCAACTGTGGAAAAATTCTCAAAGTCGAAGTTGATTTTTTAATAGAAACTCCTTTTTATTCAATATTCTTGTAACTGACAATAAGATCTATTCAAAATACTATAATGAAATTCCTTAGTATATGAGTAATTATTACTATCCAGAATATATTCTAACAAAAGATTCATTTATACGTATATAGATGATATATATAGATATAATCTAATTCACCTATTCTTTAGGCATAGATTTTGTTTAACCGTTTGTCGCGATTTCATATTATATTTTTTAGAGAAACAATTCAAAACATCAAGAATGTGCTTGATATGTAATATATTTAATGTTCCAACAAGTAGTTTTGTGGCCACACTTAGCAACAAAATAAGACTATTACGTTTGCATATCATATTACTAATGTTTATCATTCGTATTAAAAAATTTCTGTTATTTATATTTGATAGATAAAATACTTTATTGGATACTTAAATATTAGAGATCATCTAACGACATCATTTATTTTCTGATTATACAAATACAATAAACACTATTTCAAAATATGTTAAACAAATTAATAAAAATGTCTTCAATAAAATTATATGGATTAGTTGCAATTCTTTTTAAATAAGGAAATATTATTTTCAATAATTTTTGTATTTATAATGTAATATCTTTTATAATAATTTACACACTCTTACAACTTTTTTGATAATAACTTACTCGAGTAAAATGTTAAACGATTAAATGATATTTTATAATGCTCTGTCAAATATTACTTATATTCGTTTAATAAAATTAATAAAATTAGAAAAATTCTTATGCTTTATATGAATATATGTATTTTTATCGTATGTGTCTTTTATCTTCACTACGCAACGAATACTATATAGATACAATATTATCGAATATAATATTTAATTTTCAAGAACATATACATATATTTCGAGATCGATAACAATCATTATATACCTCGAAAAGAGATATAATCCATAATGTGTCGTTTAAACAAGTTTTCCTTTCCTTTTGTCTGTCCTATAAATTCCCCTCCCCCTCCCTCTCTGTTTTATTTTTCTTTCGACCTCTTCTCATTTCGTTTATTCGTTCTTTTCATTCTTCTCCACAGCATAACTCGACGGATTATCCATATTATTCAATGGGATTAACGCTATGATATATTTTCACGAGATTATGCTTTTTATCACATCTTGTTTTGTTTATTCGCACAAAATAATGATATTCAGAAATTTTAATATATCAAGAATGTCACATATATATTTTTAGGAGAAATACCATGCTGTATTGTGAACATTGTCATTAAAGCCAAATTATTATCAATGAATAATTGAAGTCAATGTACAATATTAGTAACGTTAAATGATGTATTATACTTGTATATTGTTTATTGTAGCTACAAGCATTACTTTTTCCTTTTTCTATTTATCCCGACAATCTAAATGGGGTATCTTATAAGCGAATATAAAAGCGCATCAGAGCAACAATATTTTCTCGGTTAGATACGTTGCGCATGTTTTTGCATTTCTGTAAAGAAAAGAGTTACTTCCCGCTAATGCCTCTCGGCGGCATACATATTTATTATTCGAAAGCCGAGAAATATAGAGATTCGCCGTCTCTCAAATTTCAGCGTTTCTCTCGTTCAATACCTGCACACGATGTATCTTTTCTCGCTTAATTTTTGACAATGTCGGAGCTTCGTAGTTTCAGGGTGTAACGGTCTTTTATAAAAAGATTAGCTTGAGTCGCGAATTTTGACGATGGATCGGATATAACTCACTCGAATGGAGCTAGCGCGATGGATTTTTAATCCGAATGTTTCTTTTACAAATACGCGTACTCGTGGAAGGCAATATCTTTCATATCTTTGATGAGAGAAAAGAAGAGCTCGCTTCTGGAGAATTGAATTATCGCTCGTTTAATATAGTTTTTATCTGGCACACGCACTACGGATATCAAGACAAATCCTTGACTCTGTGTTGAATTATCTTTTTCGATTAAATTCTTTTATGACGTTCTTATGCGGACGAGCGCACGTTGTAAGAACTGTGTGAGCTGAAGGCGCGAAGGTTTTACAGAACATAACGGAGACGTAATGGAAACAGCTGGCAGAAGCTTACAGCGATTTCCATAAAATCGAGCCATTAAGAACTTGTACAGCTGCAAGCCCGCGGAGAATAGTCGGGGCAAGGAATCAATATTTCAAGAAATAGAAAATGTGAGATAATAACGCACCAGTATCTCGATTAAATTTTGTGCGTTTAATATATTTTTTATCTACTTGAGAAATTTATTGCTATCTAATTGTGAGTTAATCGAAATTCCAATATATCAACAAAAATTGAATTGTAAAAGAGTCGTATATATCACTTTGCTTTTCCTTTATGCTTTACCAAAAAAAATATTTATTCAAGATCCGACGACTCACAATCCATATCGGGATGCATGGTTTTTTCAAACGTTTCGATGTAAATTTTCGCGTGCATGTGCATGTGCAACCACTAAACAGAACGAAAGAGATGGAAAAAATGGAAAAAAACGAAAAGAAAGAAAGATAGAGATTGTAAGAGAGATGCAGCAATTGCATACGCAAAATGTTTTTCAATAAATCTGCACACGTTAGCGTGCACTCTTCATATCTTTGGTTCACTCTTCCAAAGCACATTTTCGCTCTTTTATTGATATACGCAAACGAATCAACCACAAGCTTCAGTTCTCCTCTCTGTTTTTTCTCTTGTACGAATACACATAGCATATATCCGAACAAAGCACAGATGCGGAAAATGCGACAGAACGTTTGATATGATCAATAGAATATTTTTCTAATATTTTGGAATTCTTTCTTACGTTTCTCAGAATCAGATATCGGAACAAATTTTTATTCTCCAAATATTATAAAAATAATAGAAAAATATAAGATATTTATTATATTATTTTGCCAAGTATCATAAGACAGACTTAAAAGCTTCGTGTGTGTACCCTTCTTAGATATTTTTTCTATTAAATATGTATAATGTATCCACCACTAATAATACATATCTTGAGTTATAATAATAGAACGATGAATAAGAATAAAATCCAATGAATGATTTATGCTTTATCTTTATGTCATGCATGATTTCATAAAATTGCGTAATACTTTCGATATACGTTATAAAGATTCTCGTTATCCAATGTTTAATTTCCGGCTTTCCAATTGTTAAAGCACTCAAACCTTTTCCAACGTCGAACACCAGCTGCTCACGGTAAAGTCAAAAAAAGCTATCAGTATGTCATCATAATAAAAGAGAAAAAATATAAGTAGACGTGTTAATTAAAAGTATAACTTTATATTTTTGCTTGTCATAGAAATGCAACAAGCATGATGATAAAATGCTAATCTTCGAGAAATAAAATATTAAATGCATGCGGAACTTGTAATCAGGGAGTATTATATATATATTTAGATAGTTTAAACAAAGCAGATGTGATTATTAAGATCAGTTTGTAATAATGCAAAATTATTAGTATTTATTAAAATATCTAATATT